ACCGTGCTTCGCAAGGCTATATGGCGCTGCAGCCGAGAGTGGTTTTGGCCCCAAGGTCCGAGATTCGCTCGTTCGTGCCGCCTACACCCCCAAAGCCTAGGAGACTTAGGGAATCATCCAGGACACCAGACACCGAGGACACAAGAACTCCAGAAGGGTCCATTGCATCTCAAACTGAGCGTCCAGAGTCCGAGTCACGATCACCAACCAGTCCTGCATCCACTGAGTCCGCAAGTTACGAGCCAGTAGCACACATGGCATGGGACCTCGATAGGAGAGAACAGGTTGAGATCAACTTGGAAGATAGCAATGAAACCGATTCGGAAGTCCCTCCAGATCCCAATGCACAGCCAAGTAGTTCAGGAGTCTTGTCCATTCCTTTGCAAATTGACCCCAATGAGAGAACCACCATGGGTAAGAAGCATAGGAGGGCAGTCTTGGAGGGGATTGACCGATTGAACCATCAAGATGCATTGGTCAAATCCAGCATTGGTCTGAAAGACGTCCCAGTTTCTGAGCCTCCAACCTTGGTCATTACTTCGCATCCCCGCCTCTTTCAGGAGCTTCAAGCAGCAGATGGTGTTGCAGACGTTTTTGACGTCGGTGTGGGAGCTGAGTACCTCAATCCTGAGGAGGACTCCAAGATTTGGTATGATGTTTTGCAAGACTACAAGAACATCGTCATTGCCATCGAGTATGAACAGAGTACAGATCCTTTGAGACATGGTAAGATTTTGGGTGAAGTAGAATCCCATTGTGACATGAGTGGTAGCCGGTTTTTGCACATTGACGTTGCAACTACCCCGAGATGGGAGGAACATGAATTTCCACAGATTCCCCATATCAACGACCATGACTTGGCATTCACCTGCAATGATCCCAAGTGGACTGAGCTTTTCGAATCGTGGTTTCGAGGACAGACCATGAATGATGTCTTGTCTTGGCAGTTTGTTGATTGGTTAGGTGAATGGACCAATGATACAACCTTGGATGATGAGATGTCTATTGCATTTGTTGGTGAACTGCAGGAAGAGGTGATGGACGATGAACAGCAGTTCGATGCCATCTGGGATGATGATGACCGTGCTCAGGTGAACCCAGTAGAAGACCTGATCTCAGAAGAGACACTGGTCGATGAAGTAGACATCCCAGGCCTGCCAGCAGATGAAGCCGAACGACGCCGGATGTGGCGCAAGTTGCCTGCACGTGTGAGGATTGGTGTGAGAAGATTGCATAGGCAATTTGGACACGTCCCCAAACAGACGATGATCCATCTTCTTCGTGCAGCAAAAGTTCGAAAGGAATTCATCGATGCTGTCAGGATTCACAGATGCGAAACTTGTGAAGCAACATCCCAGAAGAAGGCCACGCACAAGACAGCATTGCCTAACAACTATTCGTTCAACCACACTGTAGGAATTGATGTGTTTGAAGTTCACGACATTTCAGGTGACAAGTTCCAAGTGTTGAACATGGTTTGTTTGGGTACTACTTTTCAGCTATGTGAGGTTGTTCGTTTTGGTGCCGGTCAACCGTCTTCTGCCGAATGTCTGAAAGCATTGAGGAAGCGTTGGTTCTCATGGTGTGGCCATCCTGTGAACATTGCATGTGACAGAGGTCTGCACAACCGAGGTGTCATGAAGAAGTACATGGATGAACATGGAATCCAAGTGTACCACACTCCTCTGGAAAGCCCGGAGAATCTTGGTCATGTAGAACGTCATGGAGGCATCGTCAAGTCACTCTTTAGGAAGGTTTGCAAAGAGACAGGCGCTGTTGGCAGAGAACAGGTTGAGCAGGTACTGCTCGAGGTAGTAGCTACCAAGAACAATTCTAGTAGAGTCGGAGGTTTCTCGCCTAGTCAATGGGTACTTGGAAAAGGACCCCGATCAGATCCGAGCCCATTGTCTGAAGAGCGGTTTGCCGAGCTTGGAGCTATTGAAGCCCGCCACAACCCAGAGAGCATTTTCGCCTTACAGCACATGGCCAGGCAGGAAGCCCAGAAAGCATTTGTTCACCTAGATTGTTCGTCAAGGGTGTCCCGTGCGCTTACTCGCAATGCTTCCAGTCTTCCTCGGGAGTATGCAGTAGGTGATTTAGTGACCTTTCGTCGAGACAATCAAAAGGGGGGCACCACATGGAGTCCCACTAGTCGGGTGATAGGCCATGAAGGTGAAAGAAATTTGTGGTTGTTGTGTGGAAATGTTCCAGTGTTGGTCGCCAACCAAAACGTGAAGATTGCTACTCCGACCGAAGCACTAGCTCATGCTGTTTTGCATGGTGAGCCTGTTTTTCCCGAAAACGTTGTCAAGGAAGGTGTTCAGCAGTCTTTCCTTGATGCACGTGCAGATCCGAGCGAACCCGGATCCTCAATACACATCGAATCTCAAGAAACCGAACCCCAATTTCCGGATGCTGGTTCACTACCCCCTGTTCCAGAAGATGATGAGTTAGATGTAGGGATCAGACCGGATTTCTTTGATGAAGACCAATCCGAAGGTGAAGATGCGCTTGAAGAGTTGAGTAGGTCCGCTAGCTCCGTTTCACGTCCGTTCCCTGACACAGGAAATGAGCACAGCCGCAATGTGAGGCCCCGTGTCGCCGAACCGGAGAGTGAACGCGGTACCTCATTGCAACCATCCCGCAGGGAGTCCACGAGTGCTCCACATGCATGGCCTAATGTGTATGATCATTTGAACGACTTGCCAGCTTCTCTACGAGAACATTTTGAGAGAGCACGCCAGAGAGACGAAGAGCTACCAGAGCAGGATCGAGAAGACGCACATGCCATGTGGACTAGTTTTCTTGCCCAGACTGAGGATGAAGCAGAGCTAGGTAAGAAGGTTCTAAAGAGCATTCACTATGAATCTGCGCCTCCAGAAGTGCAGAAAGCCCTGCAGGAAACCAGGCAAAAGGAATGGTCCAAATTTGAAGATTTCGGAGCCGTAGTGGCATTGACCCCAGAACAAGCGCAAGAACTCATTGACGAAGGGCACCAGTGCATTCCATCCAAATGGGTAGATGTAGACAAAGCAGAGTACAAGAAGGGGAGAGACCCTGACTACAAGCCCATGTATAAAAGCAGACTAGTTTCGTGCGGGAACTTTGAAATGACAGAGGGTTTGAGGTCAGATAGTCCAACGGCCGATGTCGAGATGCACTGTCTCGTCTGCAGTTGGGCAGCCTGTCATCAGGCCGACATCCATTCAGCTGATATCACCTCGGCGTATTTCCAGGGACGACCATTGGATCGCGTCCTTCTCATGCGTCAGCCAAGAGGAGGTTTGCCAGGTGTAGAACCCAATGTCCTTTTTCTCGTGAGGGTCCCTGTATACGGAATCACGGACTCAGGAAGAGGCTTTTGGTTGCGTTTGGATGCCGATGCACGTAAGAGCGGCCTGAAGGCAAGCCAGTTTTTCCCAGGATTGTACTACCTCCCAGGTGAGCAGGGAGGAGATGCTTGTGCCCTCATGTGCACTCACGTGGACGACTTGCTTTATAGTTTTCTTCCGGAAGGCGAGGAAGTGATGAAGTCTTTTCTTGCCAAGTTCAGTGTCGGCAGCTCAGACACTAACAGCTTTCGATATTGTGGGAAGCAGTTCGTGCGAGGAGATGACAAGGTCATCAAAGTCGACACAGCAGATAACACTAGGAAGATTCATGGAGCAGATGTTGGGTCTAGGCTAGGCAGTGAACGCCTCCAGCAAGGAGACATCACGAAGCTCAGATCGATCACCGGATCGCTCGCCTGGATCTCGAGACAGACCAGGCCTGACCTTGGTTACAGGGTAAGCCGTTTGCAGTCTAGCATTAAAGATGCAACTGTGTCCACGTTGGCAGACGCTAACGCAGTCGTTGTCCTGGCACACAAAGGTCACGATGTGGCATTGTGTTTTCCTGCGGCTCATCTCCAATGGAGTGAAGTTGGTGTGATCACGGTCACAGATGCCTCCTTCTCCAACGAGAAGAACTACAAGTCGCAACAGGGCAGGATCCATTTTCTGGGTGATCTCAAGGAGATCAAAGATGACAAGACGACCACTTATAAGGTGATGCCATTGTCTTTTGGATCCACGACAATTAAGAGAGTCTGCCGCAGCACTCTCCAGGCCGAAACGTATTCCCTCCAGAACGGACTCGAGACAGGTGACAAGCTGAGAGGTGTGATTGCGGAGATCAAGGGCAAGATTCGCAGTTTGAAGACATGGGAAGATGATGCCCGTGAATGCATTCCGCATTTGGCGATGACTGATTGCCGTTCGCTTTCTGACCACCTCAATCAGGAAGTCCTGGCCAAGGTGAGTGACAAGCGCCTTGGCATCGAGTTGCAAGGAATCCATGAGAATTTGTGGCAAGAAGGAAGACCAACATGGATTGCTTTCGAGAATGGAGGAGACAAGTTGATCTGGATCGCCACCAGTACGATGGTGTCGGACTGTCTGACGAAGTCCATGAAGCCAGATCTGCTACTTCGAGTGCTGAAAGAGTGCCATTACACTGTACAGAAGCAGAAGTAGATTTCTCCAATGCCTTAGGAAGACACAAGAGTTTCAATGTATAGCCGTGTGACACCTGTAGAACAGGTTGAGTGTGAATTTGAGGTAGGATCTCATTCTGTTGAGCCAGGTTGTCACACTATGTTGTGTCTGCCGCCGTTTGGCTCCTAGGGCCCTTGAGCTATACCGTGCTCGCTTTCGCAGTGAAAAGAGCGTGTGGACAGTACGATTCCGGTTGCTACCGACACTATGTTATCCAAAATCATCGGCCCACTTGCGACCTACGAATCCTTGTGTATCCTTGTGTGCACTCACCAAAATGATACCAACATGGCATGGCATTGTGCTTTTCAACCAGAGAGCCATGGAAAGAAACATCAAGAAACCATCCTTGGATCCTCCCCCACACCATTTCCTGTGGCGGAGTTTGTTCCTTCAAAAGCACAGGCATTGGACAGAAGACCTGCCCCGCTGTCCCGGTGAACTCAGCCATGCGATGCTCAGGTCCATTTTTCGCCGCCCGAACAGCATCAGCGGTTCGGGACCAACGCTCTCGGTGATCCATCAAATGAAGAACGCCCTGCTGTTTCTGGCGGTGTTCGGGAGATGGGACGGATTTTCCCGAACTGGATTCATCATGAATCGTTTGGGCAAGTTTGGGTGATCCACTGACAGGCAATCCAAGTCAGTCCATGGTCCATATGGTCCTGCGTCGCGCTTTTCGGGCACGGTATGTGGACGAAACCAGAAACCACGAAGCATGGAGTTCCCCCCATCACTTGGTAGTTGATTGGAGGAGTGTACCAAGATGTGCTAAGTGTGCTATTGTTTTCCGAATCACTGCAACAATCGACATTCAGATCATCATCGTTTGCGTCCAATCCGCCTCAGGCCCTCTCCTCCTCTCAATCATCCTCATCCGAGCTCCCAGTAACCCAGTAAAGAGGAGACTGTACTTCCCCTGCGAGGAGGTACCCAACCCTCAGCGGTTTCCGTCGTCCTGCGGCCACCGAGATGCTGGGCGACGCAAGGCTGTCCTTAAACAGGTATGGCCACCAGTTTCACCGGGCTGGGGATGTGACCAAGACAACATTCAAATATGTTCTAAAAGGGGATCTCATGTAAAGGAAGTGCAGATGTTCCTTCAGTCCTTCAGCCACCTTTGGAATGAATTCGAGCTGGGAACTTCAAGCACCTGACGCATGTCGGAGAGTCCCGTTTATGACACCCTAGTTCTTGTTGATACAAATGCCCAGCAAAGAGGAGCTCCCAGCAGCCACTGTTGGCCGATGAATTTCGGATTGCAAGTTAGAAGGATGACCCATGTTCGGCCCCGGCAGCATGTCTTTGAGTCGGCCACAACTACCTCCCGGGAGCAGAACTGGACTGATGAGGCCTTGGCGCCGGTGTTGATTCCATGCATCCAACAAGCCCAACACCTCCGGTGCTGAACGGGGTCATTTTTCGGCCTGGACTCCTGGACTTAGATGCCATAAGCCTTGCGCCCGACGCAAGGCTTCGAGTGCGATGTGGACATGCTGCGAGGCCAGCACACGAGCCAGACTTGTACGTATTTACTGAGGTCTAGTGACATGGTTGGTTGGAATGGCCCACTCCTGACTCATGTGCCTGGTAAAAAGGCGTGTTTACCCCTCCGGACAGCAAGATAAAATATAATCAACTAATATAAAACTGTTGAAATCAGTGTTTGAGAGACAAATCACAAGCATCATGACACAGGTTTCCAGCAAAGTCCTTGGTCATTGTCCTGAATCCGTGTTATTTATTGTTTTGGCGTTTTCCATGGTTTTCCTAAAACGTGCTCCAGAAGTACTGCTTTGCAGTATTCAGGCTGATGACTTAGGCCAAACGTGCTTCTACCAGATTTCCTTTTCCCTGATGACCTGGGATGCTCTAATCTTGGCGTATTGAACTCCTTAGTCCTTAGCCCCCAGTATAGATGTGTTGCATGGCGCCGGCAAAGTGTGCCCCTATAAACGCATTCGCACCAAGACACCATGACACATCAATACACACACCGAACCACACCGAGACACCGATACACCAAAGTTATCCAAAGTAGGTTTAGGTTTAAGGTTTGCACCCCCAAACTATGGGTGTCCTGTCGGTTTTCAATTTCCCTTCCAAGAGGCTATATATTCGAGGTCCAAGACCCTAGTTGCGAGGATCAAAACACTAGCTAGGAGGGTTTGGGGTTCAAACATTTTTGGGAATGGCACGATCCAACAGTCTAGGCTCCCTTATTAACGAGACTGACACTTGACCAACTACCTTGCAGAGGTGCGGCTGAAGCACTGGAGATGGCCCGACAAGCATGTTGCTTCGCATCATTGCCCCTTGGAATGAACGTTTGAAGATATCCCAGACACGACCTGGACAGGGGGACTGGACAATTGACCTACAAAAACCCTTGGTGAACCGCCCCAAGGTAGGTAAACATGCCATGAAACTCATGGTGTGTTTGTTGGCAAATCTCGAACACCATGCATGTGCTAACGCAAAGTAGGGTCTTGGAAGCTGGCGATGTAGTTGCGGTGACCTGTTCTATACACCAGTTTTACTCGCTCCGCGCTTCCAAAGCAGAGGATGTAACATCCCTTCCTCCGTCTTTGCAAACCAACGAAAGCCATCACTTGGCACGTCGCGGGCATGTCGGCATGTCTCTTCGGCCCCAGCCTTCCACCCTTCGAACAATCCTTCAGCTGGTCTTCTAGTCTAAAATGACCTAAAAACATGGGGTTCTTCTTTCAGAGTCCACCTCCCAGAAAACATCAACCAAAGAGGTCTAAGAGGTCCACCTTAGAAGTTTAGCTAAGCTGGTCTTCAAAGAGTCCTAAACGGAATCCAAACATCCGCGGATCCGCGTAGCTCTCGGGCTTGCTCTGGACCCCCGTCAGGAAGAAGTGCTGGACCTCCAAGGCGTCGAGTGGACAGAGCTGGGCATGGAGGGGCGTCGAGTTGTTCTGCGGATGGAATGACACGTGAGAACAAGCAATAGATGGAGAACAGATTGTTGAACAGAAATACTTTGTCCAATGCATTCACAGATAGGAGATGCTCAAGCATTATGGGTAGAGATTTGAGGCAGGATGCAAAAGTGGGACCCGCCCTAAGAATCCGGGCCCGAACCAACACGCAGGGTTTGGTTCGGGTCCGGACCCCTGCGTTTCGGTGGAGGTCGGGTCCGACCCCTGCCATGGAGAGCCCGGACTCGGATTCTTAGGGAGGCTTCCAAAGGGGAGTCTTGTTCGGGCGCGATTGGGGGAGTTGGAGTCCCAACGCGCTTGTGGCGCCATATAGATCCCTACAGAGGTGAAGTGACCTGAACTAGGACCAGTCACTCCATGGGACTTCCATATGCCGAGAAACAGCCAGGGGTGGGATGTTTGAGGGGTTGGGTGGCAGTCCTATTCCAGTCCCATGAGTCGTGTATGATAGATCCATATATGGCCCCTGCCATATATGCCGATCAGTTGGGGTGGTTTGGGGGGTGAATGTAGGCATATATTCCATACATGGAGTGTATGGGTTAGACAAAAACCACGAAGCATCTAATTGGTATTCGCTTTTCGTCCCGTTTCGTGACCGTTTCTTCCCACCACAATGCTGGGACCGGGGCCGATGAGGCCAGGCCGATCCGTGCCTTGCAGGGCCGCTTTCAGTCCTTCCTCCGCGGCGTGCGGCGTTGGCCCTACGCGCAGGCGGCTCGAGCTCGCCACGAGCCCGGTTTGGCGGGGTGGGGATGAGGAGGTCGTAGGTCATTCGATGAGGCTGTGATTGACAGTTTGGCATGCTAGAAGTGATAGTGTGAAGGGGGTTGAAGAAAGAAGCCGGAAGGAATGGTCCATTTTGATGAATCTTGGCTGACCGCTGGCAGGGTGGCGTGCAACAGCCAGCGCATCAGCTGGATGTGCTTCTTGGGATGATGGGTTCCATTGAGCGTTTGGCAAGGGCTGCTTTACCTGAATCCGTCACAGTCGCTGAAGCCGGGCAGCTCGGCGCTGAAGCTCGGGACTGCCTTGCGTGAAGAAAACGGCCATGGATTCCCCACCAGGTAGGTCATGACAATTCAAAGCGGACCATGAGGCCTGTGACAGCTACCATGTTGCAACAAATACATGACCCAGGTTTAGTTTGAACTTGCCAAGCTTGACGCAAGTGAAAAACCGTTGACAAGGACTTTCGGGAAGTTGATTAGCCAAGGCACTGCATATCCATCGCGGCTTATGATCAATATTCAGCTAAATCAACTGATGCAATTCACAAAGCGAGACGTTTCCACTGTATGCCACCTGCATAAACGGTAATCCCGGTAGAAGATGTAATTAGAAGGTATATAGACTTCTTGTTTTTGCATTGCTCCTTGACGGAAGCGGGAAGCGGGTGTGGTTGCAACCTGCTGTGCAAGCACCATCGCGGGTAATTTTTCCCCACTTTTGTCACTCTCGAGCAAGTCTCAAGACTCAAGGAAGCAAATTTGTTTATTTGCAAAAGCTTTAAGAGACTTCAGGATTGCTATGAATGCCGATATGCTAGCACCCTGCAACAGGTCAACTCTTCAGTTCAGGGATTTGGAGGGGCACTCATTCAGGCCAAACAGGATTCCTGGTACAACAGAGCAATACAAGGCAACTGGAGATGCGTAAGTCACCCATAGGCCTATAGGCTATGGCATGCCATGGCGCACCTTACACATGATCACACACAAGATTCATACAAACAATACACCGTATTAAGCATTCTTGGAGATACTTAGGGGAGAAATGATGGCCAGCGTGACCGACAGGGCGGCCTCCAAGCCGCAAAGGCCTTTCCAGGGCCAACGGGTCCAAAGTGGATGCGCCACCAACGGTGGGTCCCAATGAGGGAACGCCACCAGGTTGGCCTGCGCTATGCCGCTATCCTGTGCTTGTAGTATGCATATAGAACAGATTCCTAAATGAATGCCAAAAAAGACCACCACACTGAAGTCTGAGTGAGAGGCTTTCTGATTTGGATGCCACCAACCTCCAGCCTTGCCTTCGAACTCCAAGGGATGCAACCCGTGATGCACGACTGCAGCGCGCTACGCGCAGTCGTGCGGCTTTGGAGTCCTTCCAGAGGGACAGGGCGCCGCTTGGAGGAAGCTCTCGAGCTGTGATGGTTTAGCAATGTCAGATGCTGAGCCACTTGAAGCACCAGATGGTTCGAGATAGAACTACATGTGGGCTGACAATTATGACATATTATGACGTCTTGCAAATGAGAAAGCCATGAACACGCATGAATTGTCCACCACGTTTTCGGTTTACGCGACTCGTTGATTTTTCAGAAAGAGAGAGAGATGGAGAGTTCTAGGGTCCACCGATGCTCCACGCATGGATGCGCACCGGCAGGCGTTCCGACCCCGGAAAAAGACCCGTCGACCATCGTTGACCCGTTGCCTCTTAAAATGCATGGGTCCTCCGATTTGGAGTAAGGCCATCTAAAGTACCTGAGAAGATGGTGGAAGTGCAGTTCCCCTACAAACCCGAGGGGGTTTTCAGGCTTCCACGGTGTTTTTCTCCCCCCTCCAACCAACATTGTGGACAATCCCCCTGTTTGTAGAGGAAAATTGTCAATCCAGTGGTCAATTCCATTTGCACGATTGTTCCAGGGAGGGTATTCATTTTTCTTAGGATGTGCCCATAGCGTAGCGTTATGTCTATAGCCAGGACTGCTCGGCGGTATCGACACTGGGCCAGCCAGGACTCAGGGATGAAGCAACACCATCTCCAAGAGATCTCGATACCATATATGGCCATTTAATTCCAGACTTGTCCATATACGATTGCTGTCAATTGCTTATTTATGTCATGTGCCATTCCCGACGAGTTGAGTCGAAGCAAGTATCCCAATGGACGTCCGGCTATCGCATAGACCACCTGGATGAGTGCCTGAGACACGGAAACGCACACAGTCCTCAAGGGTTCGAGTCCTCAGACCTGGACGACCAGGACACCTTGCAGCACTTAACAGCTCGTTCACTGGAGCTTTTGGCACCTTGGTGGTTGAGTGGGTCGTGGTTCAGAGGATGTGTCACACGAGCGACCTGGGTGGTACACTGTTTTCCTGCTGGACAACACGGTGTGCGATGTGTGCAATTGTACGCCGAGCTTAGATATTAGGAGGCTATATTGAGTGTCTCTACATTTGGCCTATGCCAGATGTGAACATTTGAGCCAGACATCACATTGTCACCTTGTGAGGGTTCAGAGGCGACCAACCTATGTAACTCTCCAGGTTAGTGGGTGTGTTTTGGTCAGGATGGTGTGTACAGCGTTGAGACGTGCAGAGCACCAAAGGGAACAAGACCATGTATGAACAGTTATCACTGCACCACAACCATAACAGATTGCTGGTATGTTACCGCCTGTTCACATACATGGTATGTGAAGATAAGATAACTGTTCAACTCATTGGCTCATCCAGACTTCATGATGAGCGCCTTGGTGCAGACATCATGACAGGAATATGTTCAGCCAGGCTATTGACCAAACCTCAATCCAAAGTGTTGCAAAGCTTTGTCCCCAGACATTGTTGAAAAACTGTGTAGAAGAAAACAAACTTACAGTGATTCACTGCGTGTGGAAAAAATCATGCGCAGGACCTGGACAGTTTCCCAACTAATGCTCCACAGCAAGCCCAAAGCCCAGCAAGCCCAAAGCCCGAGCGCCGCCGAGCGCTGCCTTTCTTTAATTGTTGTTTGCTCATGTCTTCTTTTTGAAGATCCCAAAGATGATCCATGGCTTGTGCAACGTGGAGGAGGTGATAGGACAGGTACTATCAGGTACTAGACAGGTGTGGTTTCTGATTTGACCAGTTCTCCATGTGGCTTTCCTCAGCCCCTGACCGGAGACTAACGACCTGAGGAAAGCTTGGATCAACTCGCTCACAGCTTTCCCGCAGAAATTGGATCCATGCCTTTTCAGATGCTGTATCCTGAAAAGCCGCTGGGTCGAATCTTCTCCAATCTTCCCAAGGAAGAATCCATGCGGTCTCATTTTGGCCGCTGAAGAAAGACATTGAGACTCCTGTGAGCCAATATGCTTTTGCCAACGTCCATTTCTGAAGGACAAGCATTTCCTGGACTTCATTCGCTTTAGTCTTCCGAAGTATGTGTTGCAAAAGGAATGACAGGAGCAAGCCTTCGCCGCAGAGACTTTGAGTGTGATTTGAAAATCATTGTTTCGGCTCCTAGGGGTGCCTTTTTAAAAGAAACGATCATGACCTTCTCAGATATGTTCACCTGAGCAGAACCTTTCAAAAATAATATGTTAATTATGTTAATTACGTTGTTTGGGGCCGAACTGTTTCATGTCCATAATTGTTTGAACCTGATTCATTCCCAGGCGCATGTGCTTGATTCCTGATTTGCTGGCTTTCAGAGATCGGTGTGGGGTCGAGTGATTAGAGACTCATTCAGGAAGCTGTGTCGCCCTCAGCCTGCTTGTGCAGGCTTTCCCCACTTTGCCAACCCTCAAGCAGACTACTTCCGCCCGAGAAGCGTTGGTTTCGAAGCCACGTGGATGGCACGCGCCCCTCGAGCCGCAACTTCAGATGTTGTGGAAAACGGGGCGGTGAAGCATCCCCAGCAGTGCATGGCACCAAGAACTCACAGATTAAGTCCAGAACCGTCCAGAACCTTAGAAAAAGTGCGGTTTCGCAGTGATGAGACCATGACGTACCGTGACGTATGGTGGTTTTGGGTCAAAACCTGCCCATTTCACCCTTCTAGGTCGACCTGCCCATGCACAGCCATACTGTAGAGTGGCTTGATGAATCAATCAATTCAGGTGGAACAATGGGTCAATGGTCAGATATTTTGGGCATGAAACGTCGACCATGACAACCGATCTGAATAGTTTGGGTGACAACAGATCATTTCGCAGATTGGTCAAACATCTGATGGATTGGTGGATCGTAACCCAATCCTAAAATAATGTCTCAATCTACCAAGCAGAGTAGAGCTGTTTCTACAGCAAGGTTCTTTACACACAGGACTACGTGCATGAGAACAGAAAGGCTAAAGGACCACTGGCCGGATCTAGGAAGTTTTTGTTGTAAGACCTGTACCTACCCCATGAGTGGATGACGGCAACAACCTGCCAAAGCGTCTGACGGCATGTTGGGGGACCAATCTCTTCGCTCAACTTCGGCGAAGAGTTCGGCGTATGAAGGGCGCAATCTGTGTGGCTTCGCAACCAAATTCCTTTGCTCAAATCGATGAATGTATAAGTATATGTATAGAATGGAAACCATCAGTATACGATGTCATGTGAACAACCTACATGAGCAGCCCCCATCAAAAACCCCTGGATAACCTCGCGACCTATCACTGGAAGGTCCTAGCTGAGGTTTCTGAACCTCTCTCAGTTTGCCGTGCAACACAAGGCTACTACGGCCCCTGGCCCAGCGTGAAGGATTTGCTCTTGCGATGGTCGGAGCAGGGTGGGCAGCTGAGTGGATGGGCGCCCCGGTGCGAGCAGCGGACGGGTGCGAGGAGGTCTTGCTGGAACAGGACATCAATACTGTATAGACTGTAGACTGTAGGTGAACACCAGCCGAGTGTCCCTGTGGGACGGCTGATTGACAGCCAGACTCGGCCAGACTCGCCAGAGAGAGAGAGAGAGAGAGCGAGAGAGAGAGAGAGAGACTGTAGGTTAACCAAAGCCTGCTTGGCCCTTGGGATATGAGTTGGGAGAAGTGACCGTGACGGATCGGCAGAGAGAGATTTGAGTCCAGCAGTTCGATTCGTTCTACACTCCGACGAACACATCACATGGAAGTGGAAAACCGCCTGTTTGTAGAGGAGAATAGTCATCCAACAGGCCATTTTCCACTTCCATGTTAGTGAGTCAGAGTGTATTATTTGAGTGGTTTGATGCGTCCTGCGGAGCTATCAGCATGAGTCAGGTGCTGAATCTGGGGGCTGGAGACGGCAGCTGCCAAGGAGGAGTCCCTGTACGTACATTTTGGACCCAGTTACTTTTGGCCTCTTTAGTCTTTGGTTTTATTGGGGTTGAGCATGCATGCCCTGACACGTCTTTGAAGCATTGTCAATTCTTTTGGCCGGAAGCCGTAGAACTTGCAACTCTTGAGTCCAATTGAGTTGCGCTGAATCAACGGATCAACTTTGGTGACTTGGTGACTTGAGATCCAGGTCCCCGCGCGGTGTTCGCGAACCGGTCAGGAGACGATTATGACCCGGCCAACTGCTTGGTGCACTCTGGCTGGTCTGGCCTCCAAGTCGAGCAAGATGAGGCGCTAGCAGCGCAGGTCACGGCAGCGGCGACGGGCACGGTGCGGACGCTGCAGATGGAAGTGACCCCAGAGAACGCAGGTGGGATCCGGATGGCATTCGATGGGAGGAAGGGGCGGGATCGGGTCGATGGATGGAAGGACGCTGGGGTGGTTGGAAGGTTTTTCCTCAATGTGCGATCTACAACTCCCTCTCTCTCTCGCACTCTTGCTTTGGCTCTCGATGTGTTGAGAAACCAGGAGCCGCTAGATCAGAGTCCAAACGGTGTGACGCCCCATGGAGGGTGTTTCAGATCAACATCATGAGGTGAACTCAGTTGTGGGTCATCAGACATCTGGCAATGATGGCTGCCTTGCAGGCTGCCTTGTGAGCATGAGACCAGGTCAACCCATGGAGTTTCAGAAAGACATGCCAAACAAGAACCCGTTGAAAGGAACTGAACGTGCTGGATTTGGATGGTCATTCCTAGTGCTGTGCGGTCCACACACGAAGCCGGGAAGCTTGGCGAATCGGGCGCCAATCACGGCCAGGAGCTAGTTGGCATTAGTTGGCCTACTGGCATCTCATGTATCAACAAGAACCGCTTCCGCCGCTTCCGCCTTCCACTCACTCACTCAATTGTTTTGGCCATAATTATATCATATTATCGGTGGCACAACTACCAAAAACTTGTTTTGTGATATGTGTGCGTGTTCGATCTTCGGGCTTTCCAACATGGTAGAGGGATATGGACATGCATTCAACCGCCAGGCGCGGTGGCAGAGGCGGCCGCCGACTTCGGAGGCCGGAATCGGAGCCATGCACAAAGAGGTGCGACCCAAGAACCTATACTTATTATACAGGATTTGATTAGAAACGCTCTCTTTGGCTGTTGGTGGTAGCCCCTCAAAACTAACATGGAACCTGAGAATTGACCAGTGGAAGACAGGTTTCCTTTACAATCCAGTGGTTTTCAGGTTCCATGTTGATCTTCCCGGCTGCAAAAAGGACAACAAAAAGCATTTGGCTGTTAAGGGGAAACCCAACTAGCACCCAGTATAGATCAACATTTTGAGATTTTGTGGGAGCCAGAAGCGCACCTATGTCTTGGCGTGTTTCGCTGGGATTCCGCTGGAATCTCCCATCTGGCCCAGGACGTCCGGATCTTCTGAAATTGGATTTGGATCATGTCTCTTGACTGGATGGAAGGACCCCAGACAATCCATACCTAGACCTTCCGGGTGTCCAATGGAGCTTGGCAAGCTGGTAGCTGGTAGGAGTCTTGATTACACTCCCGGCCGACGATCCCATGGACAATCACGAGCCGTGGTGGGTTTGCACCAGTTTCCGAAGACCAATTCCGAGACGGTTGTGGGGTCCATGGGTAGCGTGGATGGTTTATGGGATGCATGGGGTCAACATATGTAAGATTACCATCGCCGGACCCAGGCTAACTCTGTGAATGCATTGTACGATTCTTCGATGATGGAATGTCGGACAGTCGAGCTGAGATAGGACCGTCGAGCTGAGAAGGAAGTATCCATTACAGCTCAGGAGTTTGCGGGTACTGTACCCCTTGAAACTCACAGCGATCATGCGCAACTCGAGAGCAACAACTCTGTTCGACTGGAAAGTGGCGCATGACATCGCATGACTATATGACCGTCATGATCCCGTTCAGTTTGTGGACACTACCAAATGTCTATGCCTTACATTGAATTCACCAGCATGACTGTGCTCATTTTTCTTTGGAGAGTCGTTGAATACGAAATCCCATTACATGGTGCAAAAATTCCTTCATCATCCTTAATTTTCGTCGGCTGAATCCAGCATCATCCAACCATCCCCCGCAACATCCTTTCTTCAACGCCAAAAATCCTGCTTTTGCTTAAGGTGAGTTTTCTCCCCAAGATTAAATATGGTTACACTCCGACCTAACATGGAAGTGGAAAACACCTGTTTAGTAAAGGAAAGTAGTCTTCCTTACGGGGCCATGCCATCCACTTCCACCATGTGATGTGTTCGTCAGAGTGTAAATCCTCTGGGGAAGCTTGTTTCCCGGTGCCATGAGCCTCGTCCGAGGCCGATTGCGCGCTCTTGACAGTACTTCTGGAGGCCTTTGAGCCTTTGGTGCTGCACTTGGAGATCAATCCGCTCTTTCCGCCGCCCTTTGCCACTGGGTGTGGACATGTGTGGACGACGTTTTTGGGGAACGGGGCGGGTTTTTCGCGCGTTGGGGTCACGAAGTGGAAATCAATGCATTCGGAGAGTTCTGCGACTGTCAGGTGTTCACCGCCTGACGCTTTGGAAAGGGGCCACCGACATGACACGACTCAGAGGACTGGCTAGATTGACCGAGAAACGGCCAGGGGTGGTGCCAGGGGGTCGTTGTGGGGCGGCAGTCCTATTCCAGTCCCAGCTTGTCGTGTATGGGACACAGATGTTGCCAGCGAGAAAGCCAGGATTTTTTAAACTGCGTCAGGCAACTTGTGTTTGGGGTGGACATGTCATCCCATGACTTCAAGTGCTCCCATTGCCTTTGAAGTTGTAATTACTGGTAGGTGGCCAAAAGGGATCAAACAGGACTTCAGCTTCTTGCTGCTCCGAGGTCTATCGTGAACACTGGGGAGGAAGGAATTGGAGCTTGCCTTTGGATGCTCGGACGCCAGAAACTGTGTGGCCCAAGGACGCCCAAGGAGGTGATGTTTGAAGGAAGGATCATGGATAGAAACGGTCAAAGGATCTACTCTCCCGGTACGAACCGCTTAGGTTGTCATCCCACCGTCCGCTTCACCCGCTTCACCGACGCACATGCGTGCTTGCCATCCGACCGCCTGGGAACTCCACACATGCCCCTTGTCCGGTTCTACGCGGTACACGTCAAAGGTCTTTATCAGCCTCACGAAAAGCGGGAATGGGTTGAGAAAAGAGATGAAAAGAGTGCTTCGGCTTGGACTTTGCATCCATCGATCTAGATCGACCTAGTAATTATAGGTTTTCACACCGCCAGTAGCAAACAACCAGATACTTGTTCAATCGTGAGTGGCGAGGAAGTACGCTGAGTGGAGGATGTTTGAGGCTAGGCTACGGCAACAGTCTGACAGAGTAGCCTTGTTGGATGACATTGGCCTGGCAGGACATATCACCATCAGCGGCCAGCCTAAATTATACAAGCCACATATCTTCCAGGGGTACGGTGTCAAGCCAACTCCAACTCCACAGTGCAACACATCCCACAGAACCCACCCCGATTTCCTGCCAAAAACTGGGCCACGCTCAATAATCCATACCTGAATATTTACCTACTAGACTGACCCTCAAACGAAGCCATCATCAACCAATCGATTTCGGCATGCATCGCCGAGCCCGTAGCCGCCCATGTTGGCAGAGTTGGTCCGGTTCTTTGGAACACTTGTCAGACCCAAAGAACTCTAGGAGTGGCAGCCAGAGCAGGTAAAACCTCCCAAGAAACCCAGCTTAAACCTCCATCTTCGACCTCCCCAGGAGACCTCCCATCACTTGATCGGCTGTTCCCTCCAAGCGATGATCGACACCACCCGAAAGCGTTGGGGCCTCCGCGCCCTCCCAGAGGCCACCGGGGCCGCAAAGAGAAGAGCCTCGGTCTTTGGAGCCCCGAACTACAGGCCCTACTACGGTCAGGTCCTACAGGTGAACCATCGCTACTAGGGTGGCCCCCCTTCAGGTCAGGCCCTACAGGGATGCCAGGAACCATCGCTACTAGGGTCCAGGCCAGCGCTACTAGGGTGACCCCCCCTACAGGTCAGGAACCCCTTGCAGGTCAGGAACTGACCTCAGTTGACTGGTCCACAAACACCATTCCGGGTTTTCAGGATGCAGGTCCAAGGTCCGACCGGCTTTTCGACCCACCTTTGGGAGAACCTACACATTTGGGTCATCTCAGACTCCACCTTAGAATATGGCAGAACATGTGGTGTTTCAGGATGGAAATTATGGCCCCACAGGCACTCGTGTGCCGGGGTTCTGTAGGACGTGAAAATCGAATCGGACAGTTGATTCAAGCTTCACAGAACGATGCAACGGAGGGATCACTCGCACAAATGGTGCTTTTGATATGTTTCTTATATGTTCCTTGTTTCCTTCAATGTGTGTTAGTTCCCTCCCGGTCTTGTATTGTACGGTAATTCGATTTGATGCACATAACCCTGGCAGTCAACCACTGGTGCGCCGTCCATGATTTGGTTGGATTGAACTTGAACATGAAGGTATTGGCCTTCAGAGGGTATCGCGTGCCCATTTGGCCTTTTCACATGCAGAGCTTGTGATCATCATCCACTGTGTCAGGTATACCATGATATACCCCACCATACCCAACCTATGCCAAATTTCTGCTTGTTCATCCATCAAACCAGTCAAGTTCGGCAGAAATCCTGCATGATTCAGACCCTGAACATACTGAAGATCCAGGTATAGACCATGATATACCCAACCTATGCCCTATGCCAGGCCTATTGGTTGCATCACGTGGAGTTCGAAAATGCCGTGTTGGTCCATCCCGACGCTGCCCGTCGCTGGGAGTGATTGAATAGACACCCCGTGGCGAGTGGGCGAAGCTGGTGAATCGAGAACTCCATGGTAGGCCGAGGTGGTTTTTTTTGGTTGTGTTTCTTTAACACCCGTTTCTTTTTCTTAGTAGTTCTCCATTTCGGTGGGATGGGATGGTGGTTGGACTATCCGCACGAAATCGGACTTTGGAGACCGCTGGGCGGTTCGGGGAACTCCCAGTCCGAACTCCCAGCTCCTGGGAGTTTGGGGAAGATGGACGGGCTGCGAGCCGTAGAGCGAGCCTCTCGCCCTGCCGTTTTGGGGGCCAATCGCCCTGCCGCCACGAGATGCGCAGCGGTTGGACGCGTGATGACGCGCGGTGAAAGACTCGGCGACCCCAGGTGCCTTGCCCCAGTTTCAGGGCTCCTGGGCGCAGTCTCCGGCCGAGATTTGGGCGTTTTGGTTTGCAGAGAGATGGGCGTTTTCCGTGGGTTTCGGTGGTCATACAGCACCAGTTGAAAAGACGATTGTGGGCACCAGGACCTTCAGTTCGTGACTGAACTTGAGGTCACTTGGACTTGGCCTGCAGAAGGTCAGTCAGAGACTCTAAACAGATATAGATGGCATACCTGTCCGAAAGAAAGTATCCATGGAGCTGCCAAATGGACCACAATAGACCTATAGAAGCTTGGACACCCTTGGCACGGAGGGACTGATTCATGTGTCACTTGTCCTGCCTTACCTTGCCTCGGCGTCGGGCACCGCCAAAACAGCAGCCAGAGCCTCGGAGGATTTGGTGTCCAGATGTTGGAGCAAAAACTGCACGACTCTGGCTGCACCCGGTTGTTCCTCATGCACCCTTTGGTGTTTTTTTTTACTTGGACCCTTAGCGGGGTGACAGGGTGAGACCTGGATCCCAAATGGTGTTGGTCCAGGTCAAGGGGTGTTTGGAGCTGAAGAGCCAGCAGAGCTCAAGAAGTCCCAAATACATGAAGCAACATCGCATGAAATCGTCAGAATAACTAATTACTTCAGAAGATTGACAACAATTTGAAGATCTCTACACTCCTTGAAACAATCGTGGAAGTGGAAAGCACCTGTTTGGCACATGCCATCATATGCCATCCCCTTCCATGATTATTTCACAAAGTGTAGGTTTTCAGATTTTGAGGGATTTATTGGCCTCTTCGAGCATTCGTTTGTTTGTTTTGTGATGTTTTTTCTCATGGCTCGACTCAGAGGGTACACATCAAGGCTGAACCATCATGAACCATCTCGTTTTGGTGGCGCTGACCATGTGCCAAGTTGCTTTGTACACCATATTTGAATATTTGTGTCATGCCCACAGATGAAGTCCAAACAATTTGAAGGCCTGGCTGCCGGCCCTGTTGTGCTTCAAGTCGTTCCTGTTCTTTTCCAGCTTCCGACCCCAGGATCTCTATGTGGCTGGCTACTTTTGCCATCCTTTGCGCGGGATCCTGTCCATGCGCGAAAGCATTGCGGACTACGACTTCCGCTCCTGGATGGATTTGCAGCTGCCAATGGCCCATCGAGGAGCGATTTGGAACCGTGTGCACAACGACCGGGATTGCCGCGAGGGTGGAGACAGATCAGGGCTAAATCGGGCTATAAATGCGCTTGAATATGTTTGAATGCTACGGCTTATTGAGGTGTCTCCCAAAAGATCACAAGGACGTCCTTCTTCGCCAGGACTTGTTTCACCTGCTGGCCCAGAAACTTGGAACTCCACTCAGAGATCCTAAGATCTTGAAGCTGACCCTACACCTCCACATACCTCCTCAGGTTCGGTATGTCTGGACCTGACGTTTTGGCACCCACCCCAGTCCCACCGAAACGGAAAAGAAGGTACGACTGGAGGCCGCTGAAAATCCGCCCAGCTTCGAAAGACTGACTGTTCTGCTTCTGGGCTCGGCATCGATTCTTTGGGCCGCATTTGCCTCTCGGTGTGTGGCAACCCCACGGCTTCTGCATCCACAGCAACGGACCCCAATGGCCCAATGGCCCAAGTACGGTGGATCTCTGGAATATGACCTTCTCCACATTGATGTAGGGTCCATCCGAAGAATTCGGACGTCCTGGATGGTGCCAGTTCGACCATTCTCAGGAAGTACATACTCACCTACAAGAGCATCCTCAGGAGGTAACTGGACCCTATGGGCATTTAGATGCATTTAATTTAGTAACCTGTTTTGCGTCCTCAGCGTGTTTGCTGGTTATAAGCCGCGGCAAAGAGTCGGGGTTCTTGCTCCAGGAGCGAGGATGCAACGTTTTCTGCAGCGCGAGTGGCTGAAGACCCTGCGAAGAGATAAGGCGAGGGCCTGAACACTTGGCAGGTTGCATCCTAAATGGTGGTAAATCAACCATCCATCTATCCGTTCCTACATGGTTCCCTGTTCCTGTCCCTGTCATTGCGTTGGAGTGTTGGAATCAATTGACTGGTGGAACTGCTTGGTTCTTCCCCATCGGTGGAACGGGGAGAAATTGATCCGCAAAAGGATCGGTGATAAGTGTCTCAAGGCGTATTTCATGTTGATCATTGTTCATCAATCTTCGACCAACTGCCTCATGTCCTTCTCCACCTGGTTGTGGGCCTGAAGGCTGAATTGCAAGCACTCGTGCCTAGGCTTGTCCATGTCTAAGCACAAGCTTTCTTTGGTCTTATCAAACTAGTCTGGCTCAAACATTGTTTGAGAATGTTTGAGAACTATTTGGTTCCATCACTGGGACTTTATATTCAGCCAGGTTCCCGCAAGCTGCCGTGGTGGGTTCCACCAAACTCAAGGGTCCTGGGCGCAAAATGTTAAACTCTTCCAGTTTGGGTCTCTCTCATCCAAAGTCGATCGCGACACGTGTAGGCACCGCGTCGATCGGGGTAGATCACGCCAGGCGGAAGATGAAGATCACTTGCCGATGAGAAGGTATCACTTGAGTTGGCCAAAGAAGCAGCGGAAAAAAAAACAACAGCTGTTACACAAAAGGCGGACGAGAACAGCGTCAGAACTTGACCAGGGAACCTGGAAGGGCGAGCCTGTGGGGAAGGGGGCGGCTTCTCTTTGAAGAAGAGATGCAACTCCGGCCTTCGGCGAAAGAAGAAGATAAATTGTTGAGAAAGAGGGAGGGAGGGAGGGAGAGGGAGGAAGGGAGGCACGCTCAGTCGCTTTCACTGCACACGACAGCCTCGCTCATTTTCACGGACGATCCAGGTCATAAGCTCTGCTGGCTTGCGAGCCGCACGTAGAGCTAGAATCTTGACTTGCCATAAATTGCCATACTTCTATGATTATATAATTGATTAGATGCCTGTAACTCACATTTCCCAGCTCTCAATTTCGTGCATGTTAATCTCCGACACGTCCCAGCTCCAGCAAGTTGCTCCAGCTCCATCGGACTCAGAACCCCGAAGCCGCATGAATGGTCAACCTCAGATGTCCAGTCGAATTCCACAAAGGATCAATCTAAGGCGCAGACGTGGCATATCCTCTTGCATATCCTTGAACAAAAAACAAGGTATACTCGTAGCTCCAAGCCTCCAAGCCGGCGCCAAAAACGGTTCGTTCCTCCTCGTCGACGTCGCGCCCAGGCTCCTGAACGACACCCGGCTCACCGTCGACCGCTTGGTGACGCGCTCGAGTCCATCCCGACGGCAGGAGCTCCAACGTGCGGGGCTTGGCCGAGGGGTTGGTCTCCAGCCCGGATCCAAACGAGTCGATACAGTACCCAGGGCATACCAGGGGTGGTATGGTGTCGTAGCCCTGAAAAGAGGTTGAGGGTCCGGGTGGTGTCCATGTTCATCTAATTTCATCACCCCAACGCCGCCCTGGAGGAAGGGAAGTCAGTGGCTCCAAAGACTCAAGCCGTAGACGGCTAGGTGGCTAGACCAACCGAAACTATGGTTCCTTTTCTAGTGGCTGAGATCCCCTGGGCAGAGGTGAAGGATTGATTCCAGAAAGGGTGGTGAATGGAGGATCGTGGTGGAGGTGTGATTCATGAAAACAAACTGGCGATGGATATTTCTGCATACTGTCACATCAATGAGGAGAGGCAGAGGAGTTAGCAGTTAGCTGCATGGATTCTGAGGAGTTTCTGTTTTGGCATGTTTTGGCACACTCAAGAGCCTATTTCTTTGCGGCGAACCTGGCCGACCTGCCAAGACGCGCTCGGCGAAGCGCTCACCGCGCTTCAGCGCTCAGCACTCGCCTTCACACCCAAGTTCAGAAGTTCGAGTCGTTTGTCCTAAAGTAGGGGAGACGTTGCTGCAGAACCAACCCTGGCTACACCAATTCCATGAAAAATCCTGGGTGCTTCGACTTTGGGATGCATAGAAGCTCACGAGAAGCGAACTGCAAGTGATGAGGCATGACACGGGGCTGAAGTAGCAATTGAACAAGTGGACACGAAGCTGTGACCAGAGCCCGCCGCCGCAGTTTCGCCTGTCTTTTGAGGTGAGCATGAAGAGCTACGGAGGGACTTAGAGGCGAGCACCAGGCCGGGATGACTGCGGGTCTTTGAAAAGCGAAACCACTGAAAAGAGAAGCTTAGCTTGGCGCCGTAGATATCCTGCTAGCAAGATATATATTGGGACATATAGATCTCGAAGAACATTGAACGGACCCATTGCTTAGAGAGGATTCGATTGTTTGTGGGTTTGTATTCAATCATCTGAGGACCGTAGAGTTTTACTGGTGAAAGACCAACAGCTTTGGTTCTTGACCCTTGTGCCTCCATGACAACTCCCGGGCTTGAACAGCCGATCCATTTGAATTCAGGAGCTTGGAAGATGGCCCACCATGAGGATGTTCCACCATTTTTCGTGGTATTTCATCATATGTCATATTATCATATGTTCATCGTATGTTCACCAACTCCGGGTGTCAAACTCTTTGGAACCGCTGAAGTGCGCACTCCGCGGGACCCCCAGGTCGCTTGAAGACCGTTTGCGCCTCGTGTGGCCCTCAGCCTGAGAACACCCAAGCTGGCGATGGCTCAAAAAGAGGTGGCCAAAAGAATGGGTGAAGAAAACAGGTCCCCAAGGATGGTAGGTTGACATCCATTAGATGCTGGGCAGTTTTAATGTGTTTTTGTCTTTCATATTTTTTCTTATGCATCTCTTGCAACTGAATCGAGCCTTTTCTTCTCGGGTCCTGGATTTGTTCATGATGATATCCTGGGTAAGTTTTGACCTCACTTTAGGTACTTCAAGCAAGAAAGAGCCCCTATGAGCCTATGACGTTTTCCTCTTCTTGGTAGATCAGCGTCCTGGAAGACCAGGAAGCACCTCTGACCGGCCACGGACACGCTGCGCGTTGGTTTTCCACGGAATTTGATCTCGAGGTGCTCGATTGTCAAGGACCTTTGCATCGAGCACTTTGCCCTCTGGCGGCCAACAGCTACCAGCGGGGTAGAACAAGGGGAACCCCCTACGTCGCCGGAACGACTTGGTAGCGTCATGTAGCGTCCACGAGTGGTTGATCTAGAGTAGGCACAATGCCCCACGAGGTGGTTCTAGGGGGTTGTGCCAAACCCTCCTTCATCCATCCCAATGGTTTTGATATGTTTTGATTCCCAGTCAATATATGGATGTGGGCGAACTGATTCACCAGGGGGTTGTTCCGCAGGCAGGCACTCCTTGTAGCTTCGTGATGCTTCGTGGCTTCTTTCCTTGGCGATCTCTATGCATTTCCATGGGGATGATGGGCCGTGGGTTCTTCTAGTGTTTTTTGTTTTACAGGGCGATGTGCATTTCTTAGGAGATGTCAAGGTTTGTTGTTTGGTGCTTTCCTATCCACCAAATGGTGACCGCAGAAATTGACCAGAGGATCTTCTTTGCTGGCGATTTGCCTTGCAGCACAAAAATAACTCCAAGTGGTTCATTGCCACACCTGGATCTTCCAACCATTAAACGCCAAAGTTACGCCTGTTCATCCATAAAGCCAATAAAGTCAACAATTCTGCGTAGGTGGAAGATCCAGTATACTTCACCCGTCTTCACCCTCACCCGTATTCACGCTTCGCCGGCCTTCACACATGCTCACACTGATTTCTGAGAAAGAAAAGCAACACATGCAGCCGATGTTGTAGGCTCTTTATTCTCACGCAGCCAACTAGTCAAAGGCGCAGACCGCCGGTCGGAGCGCGGAGGCTTGTGCTTAGGATCCGGCCGCGGGTCACCGGTCAGAGGATCAGGCCTGTAGGCTCTTTTAACATCAAACGGGGCTCTGTCCGTTCTTACCTGTAACAGTCAGTAAACAAGAACATCACTATTTTGGAACTGCAACCAGGCCCCATCATCCACTGGGCCCAGGTCGTAGGATAGACCCAACATAAAATGTTAAAAACAAAACACATTGATGAATGTTCCACGCCCTTGACTCATGGGGGGCGGGCCCTTCTCAGGCATCCAGGAGCTGCGGCACTGCGAACTGGCCGTGCTGTGCCGGAGCGGCAGCGAACGAACGGGAGGAGGTGGTGGTTGGAACGGTTGTTGCGAACGGTTGCGCCTGTTTCTCCGAAGAAAAGCCAGGGAGAAAAGAAGCTGACAGCTTGGACAAGCTGTTTCTTTAGTGTTGGTTTGTTGAAAGGGAGTTCTCAAAGAAGTAGGCAGCAGGCACAAGAAGCACCTTTGTAGTTGGGACAGGGGGCAGGTGTTGCTTCTTGGGGTAGTCTCAGAGTCACTGGCATCCCCAGTGTTTAGAGCGGAGAATAGGCTTCTATAGGCTTCCAACTTCCAACTTTTTACGCTCAATTGAGTCCTTTTTTCGCTCTTCGGATTTTATCAGGTCCGAGAAGAACCCAATCAACAAAACCAGACCCACCCTGCTGTGACTACAGGCAGTTCACAGATGGAACCTTGAGCTTTAGCATGCTTTGGCCTACGTAGCGGAGTGGAGCATGCTTAACATCCTTCGTTTCTTTTTGGTTTTCCTGGGGCATGGGTTTCCCATCGTTGCCCCAATGTCCAAAAGAAGGACGACTTGGAGAGGTGGGCGGCGGGCGCACGACTCCAACACCAACTCACGACTCCGCAAGTCATATAGAGGCGTACTCTCCCGCAAACTAACATGGAACCCGAGAATTGACCGGTGGTTTCGACCAGTTTCCTCTACAACCCGACGTGGTGGTAGAGGTTCCATGTGGTCCTCTGCAGGGGAGTAATTGTAAACAAAGAAACTTGTGGCCAATGTCTCGGGAGTGCTCAGCGGCATTGTATATATATATATAACTATATATATATACCCGAAGGAAGTCCAGTTCGGCACCAGTGACCAGTGAAGCAAAGGAACTTATACATGACATGTCTTCGGATCTAAAGACATATTGTAAAATACCGATCACTTGAGATCCGATGAGGTCACGAATCGTCCCTTCTTCAGGTCACGAATAGATAGAGATCTTCTAGATCGACTCACCTGTTGAGACTTCAAAGAGAGAAGAAAACAAGCCACGATCCTGGTTCTTCCTTGGTACGAGTTGAGACTCCAAGTAGTTGCTGAACGGGCAGCACTGCGCATCGACCGAGGATGTGCCGTCGCTTGGAGACCTTGGCAGAAGAGGAGGCCAATTGGTCCATGGAGCCTCCTGGTGGCACATCTTGCTGTTCCTTTTTGCTGGGTCTTGCTGTTTGTTTGTTTGGTTTTTGGTTGGTTGGTTGGTTCGTTGGTTAGTTGGTTGGTAGTTATTACTTGGTTGGTTGGTGCTTTGGTTGGTTGCTTGCTTGCTTGCTTGCTTGGCTGGTTTGTTGGTTAGTTAGTTGGTTGGTTAATAGGTTGGTGCTTTTCCTGGTTGTTTGGTGTTGTTTTGCTTGTTTGGTAGGTAGGTTGGTTGTTTCTTGCTCCTTGACGCATGACTGAAAACGAACCGCCATGAGATAAAAATATCATATGACATCCTATTGCCTACCAATGCTCAGACTCCTGCCACGCCCATATCAGGAAGCACGAAAACCAGGGAAGAGGTAGGATGAGGGAAGGGGTAGGATTTTCATCAAGAACTATATGGCATAGTTTCTGGTTTGTTTCAGGGATTGACCCAAGGTTTCGCGATGTTTTGTGCATGCCGGAAAGGCTGGACCCCTGAAACAGGGGCCGCGAGCCAGAAGTCATGGAAAACCTCTCTCTGGTGACAGGGCAATAGGGATATGACAATATATATATATATACCTTTGATCGCTACGAGGAACAAGAAGCTACTAGCAACAAAGGGCATCGCTACTAGGAGCAAGGACGCTACTGGTAGCTCCTGGCCTTACTACGAGCGAGAAGCTACTAGGAGCAAAGGGCATCGACCCGTGTTTGGAGGTACAAGTCGGCCTTAATGTCCGAAGGGCGAGACATGAGGCGCGCGTTTGCGTATGGGTCCGATTTCATGACTGCTTGGTCAAGAGATTGATTCGAGGGTGTCGTTGGGTAGTATGCGTAGTGTACTTCACAATGTTGGGTGCTGCTCACCTACCCCGGAAAAGGGGATAACCTGTACATCCTGTTTTTTGGATTTGCTTTCTCCAGTAAACAAGAGCAGGTGGAAAAAGGTTAATTAAGCTCTTATGTTCCAAGGAAACTGAAGGAGTCAGCTCATCTCATCCAGCTGAATCCATATCAAAGGCCATCAAAGGGCTGTAAACCAGATCTGATTTTTTGTGCTGCCAAAATCATCAAAACATAGCAAGCCTTTGAGTCTCAAACCCGCTGGGTGAGGATGGATCATGGATGGATCATCGTATTTGATGACAATGGGTGAGCGGGTGGTGAAAGGGGTGGTTAAATGGATCATGGATGCTTAAATGAATCGTGGTTCGTGTGGGTGATCGTGACCTTTAAGCAATCTTGTTTTGACCATCTGCTGGTCGATTCAGCACTTGAACTGGACGCTGCAAGCTGGTCAATGGTCCATTTGCACGTATATATACAATGTACATCTATGTACTCGTAGTGGTCGATTTATGTGTATCTAGATGATGTAACACAAATATAGTTATAGTAATACATACTATACTATAGATATACTTAGTTTACTCTCGTTTTTGACTGCAATCTATGTTATTGATTTATTTCTTGAGGACGTCTAGAACTTGAACTTTGGCTCTCGGCTGCGCTTGTGCGATTCGCGGCGCGCTTTCTTTGCCAGGAAGGTGAAGCTCAAGAGTGAGACGATCGTTCTGAGGAACCGCCTCCACAAGCTGTGCCGCTTCGGCAAGAATCCGTATTCCAACCGGGGCGAGCTCTCACCATGGCCCCGATGGTAGGGAGAACTCAACCATTCAGTTTGTTCGGGATTACCAGGTGAACTGGCCGGCTGCTTAGGTGAACATGTATTATTTTCTGTGGGAGGCGGCAAACGGTAGGGGGCATTGATCGCCAAGTTCGGGCTTTTGATGTCTCAATTGGTTCAGCTCACCGGTGCGCTTTGGAGTCAACCCCATGTGGCAGACGCTACGGGGGTGCTGTGCTTTGTTCCTCCGTATGGAGGCGATTCCGGCAGATCGCTGGTCCCATCTACGGAGTGGATGGCATGGCCCGGCTCATGGCCCCCAGAAGACCGCTCTTCCCTCAACGTCCAGGGTGCCATACACCTTGTGATTTGTGGGACACGAGGAGCTCCTTGGAGCTGGGCAGCTCCTTGGAGCTGGGAAGAAACCGGGACGTACAAAGCCCAAGGATCCGGGGCTGGAAGAGTTGTCAGACAAATGGATGGGTTTGTGGTGGTTCTTGGGTATGTTAAGGGGTCAGTGCGTGAATCATGATATATTCCAGTCCCATGGATGGTCGCAAGAACCTGACTACAATAGACTAGCCTAGACTCCCGGGACTGCGAGAATGGGATTTCGATGTTGGACTACATCAAAAAGAATCGTCCAGTTGTAGGTGCCACTGTCCAGAGAGAGCCAGGTCACAGCAACCAAAGCGCGGCCACCCTGGTCTTGCTTAAGGTGATGTTTTATTTTCCCTAAGGTTCCCCTTCTGGTGGATATGATATTTTTCACTTTTTACAGGTTCCTGAAGCAAATCCAAGGTTAGGTCACACCAACCAAATGCGGCCACATCTCCAAGGTTTTAACTCGACTGGTGGCCGGAGTCTCAAAGAGGAGAGACATGGGAGCGATGATGGAGCGATGTGACGTCATGCAGATCGAAGATGAGCTCATGTCCCAAATCTACACTCCCTGGCCCTGGAACTCACATGTACAGTGGCTTAAGAGTAGATGGCACAATCCCCAAAAGGTTGTTTATATGGACCCCTACATAAACGACATCTTGGGGTGCAGGTGCCATCTACTCAACTCTCAATGTAAGTGGATTGCATGGCCCCGAAAGGAGGACCATGTTCCTCTATGGCAGGGGATCCCTTCCACTTCCATGTTACTTCCAGGGCATGTTCGCCGCGCCAGATGGCTCAGAATGCGGTCAAAAGAGGTAGTTCCAGCGTAAATCATCCCAACAGTGTTTTTTGCTTGGGTGTTCAGTGGTTCCTTCTACGTTTAAGTCCGGGTGGTTCTGGGGAAAGAAACACGACGGCAGCGTGAGACACTAAGGTCTCCACCTTCAAATGCGACCTGCTTCAGCGCTTTAGCTACACTCCATGGAAATCACCATGGACGTTGAAACCATTTATTTTGGGTTTGTTATAGCCGTTATAGCATATTATAGCAAGTATAAGTAGTCTTGGACGATCAACCTAGCTTGGCCCTCGGATATCTCCGGATCTCTCCTCCTGAGTTGAACCATGGCGGTCCGCGGTCCGATTTCAGGGAGGTGTTTCAATCTTTCCTCCGGCTTTTGAACAAAGAAAATACCTGGGGATCGTCGAAGCGAGTTTCGCGAAAAAGACACGAGAGGTTTGAGTCAAGCGTGGCGTGGAAAGCACCGAGAAGTGTAGGACATGGCCTGGGGAGCCTTGCATGCGCGGGAGATCTTCACAGTGACCAGTGCTCGTCAGGGGCTTGGTTGGCCTGGTTCGAGATGTTGCATGTGGCCAGATACCTACCCCCCAGACAACTGGGCCTTGAACAATTTCTTAGCGCCACTTGAACTCTTTGCTGAGAACATGGCACAGTTTTGGCACAATATGGAATACAGAGCGGCTTTTGTTGCAACGCTCAAATTGGAACCCTTTCAAAAAGGCACCGAGTCACCCTGCGACGACTTGCCATGCACCTTCTGTGCCCTTCCGCCTTCATCCAGATGTGAGCCGCTCTTTCGCCATCCGAGGGAAAGAGGTGGAATGCCTTCGTCAGAAGGTGGCCGCTGCCACCTTGGCGATGCACCGCGACACTCACCCCAAGCTGGCCGGGATCTCAGGGAGAAAGGGTGCGAAAAGGCGGGTTTCGCAGAGGAGCCGAGTGAGGCAAACCCAACAAAGGTCGAACAAGTGAATCCCCTCTCCACATGTGTTGGAGACCGTTTGGATCTACTTGGGGGGACCTTCATGCCGGCTTAAGACTTAAAGGCTCAAGAAGTTAAAAGGAAGCTTCATGAAGTTGTACCAAGAAATTGGTCCCTCTGGTCAGGCGAGATACCTGATTCAATCGCCCATCCAGCACGCCGTGTGTAGATGTGGAGATCAAGTATCTACATATTGTGTTGTTCTCATGTGCTGTCTAAATGATTCCTTAACCACACCGGGACTTCTACCAGGAGGCCGAGATTCCAGGCATCACTCTTCACTAAATGTCCGCCCCACACAAAGCACCCATCGGGCGCCCTGGGACTCGAGCTCGGCCGAGGATGCCATCAACAGCGAGCGTCACGCCTCTCAGCTGCACAGGTTGAACGCCACCATCGCCTCCCACCGTCCAACAGGGGCTGTGGTCGGACCCAAAGAAGTGGTTTCTGGACACCTGTTGCCACCAGGAAGCAGTTCTTGGAGTTCATCTAGTTGAATTTTGGTCGTGCCAGTGACGTTACCCGAAGAATCCATCTATCCATCGCGATCGATTGATCGATCTATCAATTTGTTATAATTTGTTATCATATATATTTATTATGTATATGTGTTTAATCTATCTTTGGAATATTTGCCTGTACATTCGGGTGGTTTCAAGATGTTTCAGGGTCGGATAGGTAAATATTCCATAGATGGACTGTTGGGGCTAGGGTGGAACCACTTTTTGCGTCCGAGTCGTTTGTTGACTCGTTCTACCAAGGTGCTTCCTAAGTACTTCGTGTAGCCATCCTGAAGTCAGTGATAGGGTGCTCGGTGCTTCCTGAACATGGGTGAATAGGTGCTTCGCTTCCAGAGGGTGCTCTTTGAGTCCCGAACCTGCCCACGGTGATGCAGCCGGCCATGCCGCCGGAATCAGCGAATGGCCCGTGCATCACCACATGCGATACAGTGCATCACTGAATCAGCAAAAGAAGCTTTCAGAATTTGGGAGACCTCCCAGGCGTTGGGAGACCTCCCAGGCGTTGGGAGACCTCCCAGGCATTCCAAGTTGGGAGATCCCAGGCGTTGGGAGACCTCCCAGGCACTCCAAGTTGGCAGACCTCCCAGGCATTCCAAGTTGGGAGACCTCCCAGGCATTCCAAGTTGGGAGA